TCAAATGTTGTGTCCGAAAAAAAGTAAAGAAAAGAAAAGGAGCAAGAGCAAGAGCCGGGGAATGGGAATGAAATGGAGCTGGTGGTGCAAGCTTTCCCCCAAAAAATTGACATCAGTTGCTGATTTTTAATTAAAAATTTGCGACGTGTGAAGTTGATTTCAATTTGGGGGCTCCGCCAAAAACTGACAGATGAACAGGGACAAAGAGGAGGAGGAGTAGGAGGAGAAGGAGTAGGGAGAGGAGGAGGAGGAGGAGGACTCCACAGGACACGATTCCGATGAATGGATGTTAGGGAAGACCAATGTCCGACCCTTTTCTGGTTGGAGGATGGAGGAGGCTTGGGGGGGTAGGTATTCAGGGGGTTTTTAAGGGGGTTTTTAAGGGGGTTTTTCAGGGGGTTTTTCCAGGGGCTTTCGTTTGCCGAAATAACAGTTGATGCCTGGTGACAGGCGCCGGGAAAAGCAGTCGTCACATGTCCGCCAAATAGTTGGATTCCTGGCTGGACACTAACAGATACATATAAAGATACCGATACAGCTGCAGATACATATACAGTGAAAGATACATTTACAGATACACAGACAGATGCAGATACATCTATAGATACAGATACAGATGGGTCTTTTTAGGGGGGTCTGGGGGGGGGGCCTTCATAAATATAGATTAGCAGCAAATCGAAATTGAGGAAATAGAGCATCGCTTTATTGCCCGGCCAACGGGGTGATGATGATGATGGGTTAGATTCGGAAAAGGGATCAATGATTGCATATCATTAATTTGCATTTAACAGACACACATTAAATAATATTTAAAATTTCTAGAATATTTATACAGGATTTTAATTTATTTATAATTTATATGAAAAGTTTTTCCTAGAAACAAGTATAAAAAAAAATATAATTTAATAAAGAATAATTCAGGAAATGGGGAATTCATCAAGTTTTTAAGTCTAAACAAATTTCTGTAGCTTTAACCCTCTAAGCCCCAAGCGAAGAAATATTAAAAAAAACGAAGTGTAATTATATTTTTTGGGGTAAATGGTAGCTTTTAATTTCAAAAATGACCTCAAAAAGTGTGTAATAACTGTAGTTTACCTGTAAATCGAACAGGGGTAAATAAGATGAATCACTGCTACAACGCACTATTTCTATAAAATTGCAAATATGCAACTTGATTTGGATTATTTAATATCTTACCTTCTAGAACAATAATTTTTATTTGGCTGATTTTGAAGATATTTCACTTTTATTGATAGACAAAAAAACACTATATGAAGCACACAAAAATTTTTTGCGCGCGAATGCATGATGCATGTAAACAACACGAAAAAAGTCCTGTTATAAAGCTTCAGAGAGCTTTGAAACCTTCTACTCATAAGTTCACATGTTTATTGTGAATTGACTAGTGTAATTAAAAAATTTAAAAGGCTCCCCGTTTTTTAGATAATACAAATTATATAATAAGTGCCTTGAGGCACTCTTGGGTCTTAGAGGGTTAAGGATGTCCAAAGATTCTGTTTTTAGTTTTTAAGGGAGTTTCCTGAATCAATATGCATTTTTTAGCTTAGCAAATTCATTAATTTAGTTGTTATTTTCTTTAATTATTTTATAAAATAATAATATAATTGTATAAAAAAAAAATCAAAATTAGGAAATTCATTAAGTTTTTAAATTTTAAAACTTTTTGGGTTTCTAAACTTTCTTCTTTTAGTTTCAAGTACGGTTTTTTTATATATTTTTATACCCTTGCAGGGTATTATAATTTCAGTCAGAAGTTTGCAACGCAGTGAAGGAGACGTTTCCGACCCTATAAAGTATATATATTCTTGATCAGCATCAACAGCCGAGTCGATCTAGCCATGTCCGTCTGTCCGTCTGTCCGTCCGTCTGTCCGTCCGTCTGTCCGTTTCTACGCAAACTAGTCTCTCAATTTTAAAGCTATCTGAATGAAACTTTGCATGTAGTCTTCTATATACTCTCACTGCTATATATGTCGGAACTGGCCGGATCGGACGACTATATCATATAGCTCCCATACAAATGATCGATAAATTTTTAGAAAAAAAATTATAACTTGGCTGTTTATCAACATTTTTGCACCATTTTTTAGATATGGCCATTTTATATTATTTCAGAATTTCGGTTAAAAATTCATGAAAATCGGACGACTATATCTTATAGCTGCCATAGGAACGATCGGGAAATTAATAGAAAAAACATTATAACTTCGTTGTTTTTCAACCTATTTTTATCTACTCTGAGATATAAGCTTATTTTATTAGTTCAGAATTTTGGTATAAATTTTATAAAAATCGGACAACTATATCATATAGCTGCCATACAAACCGATCGGTAGATGTAGAGAAAATGTAAAACTGGGAATGTAAAACTGTAACTGTCAAACTCTAAACAATAAGTATAGGTAAAATTTAATGAAATAATATCTGCAAGGGTATACAAACTTCGGCGTGCCGAAGTTAGCTTCCTTTCTTGTTATATATATATTATTTCTTCTCCTTCCTTCATTTTTACTTAAGAATTAGGTCGCTATTTTAGGCAGAAATCTGCCCGACCAACCATTGGATATATATTAATGTTATATTCCAAAATAGTTTCCACACTTGAACCCAAATACCAGATAGTTGTGTGGCAGCAGGTGCAACACCTTCAATCCCCTTCCAATTTTCAAACTCAATTCGATTTAACCCAGTTTCCGGAGACTGACTTCCTCCCTACCAAAACTGCGGGTGTCAAAGTCATTGCTTTATATAATAATGTTACCGTTATGACATTAACCTTATCGTATATATATATATATAGACATATATATATATGTTTGTAGTAGGTAGTTGACATTCAGAAGCGAAAACCCAAAACTCCAAAGGGGAAAACAAAAAGAGGCAAAAACAAAAACAATAAGTGGTTTTACGACCGATACGCCGCGACACACAAGACACACACACGCACTCTCTTATGGATTCCCCGATCCCCGATTCTCCGATTCTCTGATTCTCTGATTCTCTGATTCTCCGGTTCCAAACAGAGCTATTAACAAGTAATAATGACAGCGGCGGCAATAACAGCCATAAAACTCGAGTGCAACAGTTAGAAAAGTCGCGGTCGCAGTGCCACACACTTGAACTCATAAATTCCAAGAACCCGCAGATAACCTATATATATATATTATGTGTATACATATATATATTTCTAGATATATATATATGTACATGCGTGTCGCGGTACTTGTCTTGTATAAATAAACATTTGTGCGTGCCACCGATTTTCCCTCAGTTTTTCCTCACAAGAGAGTGTGTGTGTGCAGCAGCAGCAACAATAACAGCCACTGTTGTGGCAATAAGAGCAACTGTTGCAACAATATCAGCAAATAACAGTAATAACAGCAGCAGTTGCAATAATTAGAACAACTTTTTGGTGAAGCAACAGGCAAGAGTTGCAACTGAAATAGCAACTATTGAGGGATATAACAGCAAAAAACAGCAATAATAAAAATTTTAAAAATATTAAAAATTGTTGCAAATAAATAATCATAATCATAATATTCATAACTCCGCCAAAAAGGCACTAAATTCAAATTAGAAAGCGGGTTTTTCTTAGTTTTTACAAGCTTAAAACAACAGCATACTAAATTTTAAATTTCATTTTTTATCAATTTTTGAGAATTTTAATGATGTAACCCCTTATCAAATTTCTCAAAAATGGCTCAAAATTTGATTTCCTCCAAACATGGCTTAAACGATTCGTATTTTAATGCTGATCAAGAATATATATGGTTTATGGGGTCGGAAATGACTCCTTCGTTGAGTTTTTAGCTTTTGACTGAAATTATAATATCTTCCAAGGTTATTATAACAGTAACTTGTTGGCTTACCAGCAACAACAGTCACTTCTAAATAATAGCAGCCACTGTTAAGAGCTACTATTACATTCATAACTTTAACTTTTCTAAGTATAACAGGTATAACAGCAAATTTTCGCAAATATAACACCAACTGTTCTACAAATTATAACAATAAAAGCCAATTTTGTAGCAATTACAGCAAAAAAAAAAAAAAAAATAGAATTGCAGCAGTAACAGAATTAACAGAAATTGTTGCAGTCATAACAGCATCCAAGCTGCATTTAAAACTGCTTTTAATTTTGGTGCTATTGTTGTTGTTGTTGTTATTGTTGTTGTTATTCCTATTGTTATTAATATATACATAGCTGTTGTTGATTATGACAACACCGATGATGACTGATGTGATGCGATGAGATAGTGTTGATATACAATGTATAGTCGCGGGCCCTCCGTTATTATTGTTATTGTTGTTATTGTTATTGTTGCTATTGTTGTTGTTATTGTTGTTGTTGTTGTTATTGTTGGTGTGCAAGGGAAACCGTTGATATAACCATTAAGGCGATGCCCGAAGCTTACAATCTTTGTTGTCGTCTTCAACTTTGAATCCAAATCCTCCTCCATGCCATACAGTGGTTGTGGCAGGCTCAAAAGTTGGTTAAAATTCAACAATAATATTGCCAAAGTTGGATTTCTTTTTTTATTTGAAAGAAATTTAAATTTAAATTTATTATAAAATAAAAAAAAAATATATATAACAAGCATTTTATTTGTTTAATGGTTGTCTAGCTTAGTGTTTGATTTTGAGCATATATTTCTTCGATATGCCCCACTGTAACTCACCGCTTTGTAAGCAAGAGAGAACCGGTATTTGTTGCTGTTGTGTGGCTCCCTTTTGGAACTGAAGGAGGAGGAGCTGGAGATGGAGGGCAACGGGTGATCCGAACGGACAGAAAGAACAGCTGCTGACAAAGCGCATTGGGTGGCAGTGTCTTCCTACTCCGACTCCTCCACCTCCTCCTCCTCCTCCTCCTCCCTCTCCGATGATGTATTTTCTTGTTCTTGTTCCCCTTTTTACACTTACTATTATTTTATATTTTATTTACACATACTTATTGTTTAACCTCTTCTTTTTCTTCTTTAGGGCCACCATCAGCGAGCAGAACTAGCGAACGTTCCAAAGATGGCACCCCGGCTGGCGGTGATCTTGGGCCTAACGGTGGCGGTGGCCTTCGTCGCCGGCCTGCCCATCACATCCCGGCCAATTGAGGGCAATGCCCAGCGCATGGCCTGGGAGGATTGGATTAACTTGGACCCGGTCCAGCGGACCCTCGAGAAGGAGAAGAAGGTTACGGCCAAATCGATATTCACCCTGCCCTATCGCAACTGTCCACCCAACCATAAACTCTTCAAGGACACCTGCATCCTGATCAGTCAAATCGACAACACGGATGTGCTCAAGCAAGAGCTCATCCTGGCCGGCGGAGTGGGTGTCAAACCCATTTTGGACTATGATTATGACAGTGACAGTGAAGGGGACTCTAGCGGTGAGTCTCAGTATGATTTGTCAGAGATACAGCCACAGCCACAGCCACAGCCACAGCAGCAGCAACAGCAACAGCAGAAGCAGCAACATCAGCTGGATCAGCATCAGCCCTTTCCCCTACACATAGGCGGCTTGGGGGGTGGTGGCACCGAAGACCAGGCTCTGCCCAGCGAAAATGCACCCTTAAAGTTTAATATATTTGAAAAGTTCCCCACGGGCACCGGTGAGCCCGAGGTGGAGGTGGAGCTGGACCTGGACCAGGACATGCTGGCCAGCAGTGCGAACTCGACCACAACCTCTGCCACCACCACCACATCCACTTCCACAGAGGCAACAGCAACACCACCTGCCAATCGCATAGCTGGCGGGGATTTGCTGGCAGCTCCCAGCAATGCCCTGTCCACAACCACAACACTCATGGAGGAGCCCAGCAGCAGCAGCAGCAGCAGCAACACTACCCTGGAAATTGGCCAGGTGGAGGCCATTGTTGTGCCCGCGGGTCAGCAGCAGCCGCCGCAGGAAGGTTCATCATCCATGCAACTGGTCACCAGTTCCCTCTTGGATGCAGATGTCACCACTACCCAAAAGAATTTCAATATAACCAAGAATCCCCCAAGCAATACCAATCCCAATGCGGAGGCGGATCTGGCTCAGCTGCTCAAGGTCGACGCCTTTCTGCCGGCCAGCCCGGATGCCAGCATTGAGTTAATCCCTCCAGTCTTTAGTCATCGTCGTGTGGCGCCGCCTTTAAGCGCTGTTTTGGATGTGAAAACCAAGGAGGAGGAACAGGATTTCAGCGAGGAAGAGCAACTAGAGATGGAGGAAACCACCACAGATATTGTGCCAGCTGATGATGATAATGATGATGATGATGATGAAGAGGAGTGGTCCACCACAGTCACAGTTCCAGTTCCAGTTCCAAACGAGACAACGGTTACCAGCGATGCGGAGGCGGTCACTGAGACACTGCCTGAGCCAACGGAGGAGGCAAAGATAGATGAACATGAAAATCATCGCCTGGTCTTGATAAAATCGAAAGTGGAACCTGTTCAGGTGACAACAGCAGCAGCAGCAGCAGCAGCGGCAGCGGCAGCTGATGACCGGTTTCATTATCAGACAAGTCCAGGGGAAGCCACCAGCAGCACAGCAGCCACCCAGCCAACGATCAGGCAGAACCCAGACAATGACAATGAAAATTTAATGACAAATACTATAGGTGGCCAGGAGAAACACCAAGGGGATCAAGGGGAGGAGGATGTGGTGGCCAAAGAATTAAGGCTCATCAATGCCTTGGTAAAAAGTAGCAAAAGAAAGCAGCTAAAACAGCAGCCAGCCACCTCGGAGTTACCTTTAACCACCACCGAGGAAACCCACTCATCATCATCATCAACAACAGCAGAGTCAGAGGCGGTTTTAGATACAGCTTTAGCCTCATCCAGCAGCGTCACAAATTGGTCAAAGGTGATGCCGCAATTAAGCAGTACAAGCGAGGCAGCAGCAGCAGCAGCAACTTCTAGCCTGGCTAATGAGAGCAGCACTGCAGCAGCAACAACTTCCACTGAAAGCGAAGCAGCAGGAGAAGCTGAATCAACACCAGAAGCATCAGCATCCGCATCCGCATCACATTTAAGTATTAATAATCGTAGGAATAGTAAAATAATTAGAGTAGAAAAAGCTAGCAAAGAGCCAGAAGCAGCAGCAGCAACAGCATCCCCAGCAGCAGCAGCAGCAACATCCCCAGCAGCAGCTGCAACCTCCCCAGCAGCAGCTGCAACCTCCCCAAGCGACAACTACACACCTTTTTGGTGGCTGCCAAATATAGGATGGAGCCTGGAGCGGCAAATGGATCGAAATGGCGAGGATAGATCGCTGTTGCTTAGGTTTTTTAGCTCCTTTGGAGGCAGGGAAACCCAAAGCCACTAGTATGTAGCAGCAGCAGCAGCAGCAGCAGCAGCAACTCCCCAGCTCTAACCTAGAGAGCCTTGGTGGCAAATGTTGTGTGTGTGTAGTCCAGTGTAGTGTGTCGTTTCAATTGCAGGTTGAAGTTTGTTCACAGTTGCACCTTTTGATTTCAAAAAGAATAATTCCCTTAATTATATTTATTTTTCCCTTTATTTTTTTTATTCCATTTTTTTTTATGTGAAATTGTAAATAGAAAATTTAAATTCATTTCCAGCAACAACTTTGTGGCTTCTCTTTCTTTATTTTCATATTTTTTTTTGTGTTATTTAAAAGTGCTGCTTTGTTTTTTTAAGTTGTTGATTTAATTTTAAAGCAAAATATAGCATATTTTTTTTGTATTTTTTTTTATATATAACATAATCTTATTATTAAAAAAAAACAATAGTTTTATGTGCCTGCTGCTGGCGTTGCGCTGCGAACCGTAGCAATATTTAATTGTGATTATTTACGTGTAGAAATTAGGCTTAAACTAGGCTTAAATTGATGTTTAAAATTGGAATGTACTCTCCCTTTACATATATATATTTTTTTTTTAAATAATATTAGAATGTGAAGCCCCTCTGTCTCTCTGTGTGTGTATATACAATTACTACTTACTTTACCATTGTAAAAGCCATTCAAATCGAAGCAATTATCTTTAAGCGTAATATATATTTATGTCTACCTACCTACCTACCGATCGTAATGCATGTACATAGTTTAAATACGAAAAAGCCGAGTGCGTTGTCTATATTTTGGAAAATTCAACAACATCAGTTACAACCCCAAAAACAACCAAAGTTCCAAATGAAAAACAAATGCACTAAAAAAAAAAAACGATGATTGTTTTTCTCTGCTGCCGGGAGGAACTCTCATTCAAGCTTAATGCCGCCTCAGGAACTTGGCCAAAATTGGTGGGCCAAAAGTGAAACTGAAACTGCAAAACTTCATAACTCGGGACGGGGGCAGAAATCCAAAAAGGGAACCAGGCAGTTGCCCTTTTAGGTGTCCATCCATTTTGGCATTTCTTGGACAGATGAAAGACGGCCTTTGAGTGGCAACTTGGCCAAAAAGGAACTAAGGAGGTGGGAATCTTCAAAAAGAAAGAGTTAGCTTTGTTTGCAGGTCTTCTTTAAAGAGGAAAAAGGTTAGTATACATATAATATTATCTATAATTTTTATAAAAATTATTTAAGCCAGCATTTACTAACTTTTCCTTCTTTTTTTCCAGTGTGGCGAAAAGGCGAAAATATTAAAAAACAAACTACAAAAAAGAAAGAGGAAACAATGTTTCGAAAAAGGTAAGGAAATATATTAAATAATTTATAATAAATATTTAATTGTTAAATACTATTATTAAATATTATTATATTAATATTTTTAATAAATATTTAATAATTAATGTTGCCTTGTTTATATTATTTAAATAAGGTGTTTTTTATACAGAATCTAATTAATAAAATCTAATAAATATCTTACAACTTCCTCTTTTCTTTCAGTGTGACGAAAATATAAAAAAAAACGTCGATTGGCAATGTAAACAACAGAAAAGAAATGATGTTTGGTAAGTAAATTATGAAATAATGTAAAATAAATAATAAAATATTTAATTATTTGTAATAATTCATAATAAATATTAAATTATTAAATTATGTATACAAAATATTTATTAATATTTAAAATGAAGAACTTTTAAAATCATAATATATATTTAATTATTTATAATATTTTTTAATATAATATTAATTTAAATATTTATAAAATTATTAAATTATTTATAAAAAAAATCTATTAAGATTTATTATAAATAATTTGATAATTTTATAAATATTTAAATAAATATTTATTGTAAATAATTTAATAATTTCATATTCATTATAAATTTTAAAGTTTTTATTTTTATAAAAAGATTTATTAATTATAATAAATATTTAATTATTTAAACCAACATTTATTATTGTTTAAGTTCATAAATAATGTATTTAATCAAACCCCATAAATATCTAACGACTTTCTCTTTTCTTTCAGTGTGTCGAAAAGGCAAATATAAAAAGCCTCGATTGGCAATGCAAACGACAGCTGCCTCTCGAAATTATTTCTTCCTTTTCGAAAGATGGAAACAAAATCAACTTTAGCTGACAGGAAGGAGGAACAGCAGAAGAAGCAGAAGGAGCAGCCGTAGCCGAAAAATAACGTGTCACACAGGTTTGTAGTAGGTGTTTGCACACTGTTTTTGCCATTAGGGAGAATTTTAGCATTTCTCCAGGGACGACCCGTCCGTCCCCCTGCCGAGTTTTCTCTCCGCTTTTTTCCCAGCTGCCTTTTTTTTTTGGCCTGGGTTTTTGGTAAACATATGCAGACGGCATGTTTAACATGGCGAATAAAATCATGTGTGTGTGTGCCGGGTGTCGGCTGCTGCTGTGTGTGTTTGCCTAACGAGCTGCATTAGTCGCTGATTGCAGCTGGATCCGAGTCGGAATATGAATGTGAATCTGGAAACGCATCTAGCTGACGGCCTAGCTATCACCTGGTTTTATTTTTGGAATTCTTTGCTTTATTTTTTCTCTAGTTTTTCTTTATTTTTGCTTTATTTTTTCTCTAGTTTTTCTTTATTTTTTCCTAGATATTTTCTTTATTTTTCGTAGAATTTTTGTTTATTTTTTTCGAGTAGAAAGTCAGCAGCACCCTGGCTCCATCTGGGGGCCAGTGCTGGCTCTGATTTTAACTGCTGCCTACTTTCAGGCTGAGTCTTTAGCTTCTCCTTTACAGTGGCGTCCTAAATAAAGTATAAAGTAAACAAATTAATATATTTAAGCATAGAAAAACATTATGTTAATAAAAACAAGAAAGAAAGCTAACTAAACAAATTAATATATTTAAGCATAGAAAAACCTTATGTTAATAAAAACAAGAAAGAAAGCTAACTTTGTCCAGCCAAAGCTTGTATACCCTTGCAGGTTACAATTAAAATATATCATAACTAAGCCAAAAATGCATTAATTTTACATCGAAAAACTGTTCTGTGTTAGTTTTTATGAGGTTAACAAATCTGCATACTTAGTTAGAAAAAAAAATTTGGGTCAAAAATTGAGAATTTTAATGATGTAACCCCTTATCAAATTTTGCAAAAATGGCTCAAAATTTGATTTCCTCCAAACATGGCTTAAACGATTCGTATTTTAATGCTGATCAAGAATATATATGGTTTATGGGGTCGGAAATGATTTCTTCACTGTTTTTGAAGCTTCTGACTTAAATTATAATACCATGCAAGGGTATAAAAAATATAGATATAGCTTAAAAATAATAAAACACAAAGTAAATATGGTTTTAAATAGTTTATTGGTTATATTTTGTCTTAAATGTAACAAAAAAATATTAAATTTAAAGAAAACAGCTGCAATAATTTGTGTTTTATTGTTTTTAAATTCTATATAATTTTATTTTTACGCTATTTTATTAATATAATATTTTCTTTTCTTTTTAGGATCCCTCTTATTGCCACGGCTCTGCGTAATAATTGGTTAAACGGAAAAGCATCCGGAGAGTGCCCTGCCATGACTATTAAAATCTCAATAACTGTAAAATGCTTGCCATACACTTGAGAAAAAAACGAATGGGGATTGGGGGTAAGTAAGGCGAGGGGTGGGGTGTGGGGTGTGGAATGGGCTTAAAAGCGTATGTCTCTCTTTTTCTCTCCGTCCCTGCATCCTGGCTGTGTGTGTAAGCCTGCCGATGGCAAAAGGAAACTTCTGTTTATTTAACTATTAAGCAGAAGTGCACACACACAGAGGATACTATCTATGTGTGTGTGTGTGCATAAAATATAAATGAAACGGCGCCTAATGCTTGGCAATACAAAGTCTCAATGTGTTGTGCAGTATTTTAGTTTTCAATGCCTGAGCTTTTATGCAAAGCAAACAAGCCACTCGCACACATAAATGGTGCACTGAGAGAAATTTAAATAATTAATAAATAAAGTAGAGTAAAGAGTATTATTTTTTTTTATTGAATTGTTTCGCCAGATTCCTGGAATTTTTAAAATTTAAATTATTTTTATTTTATTAAAATTTAATATTCAATTTCACATTTAAAATTTTCCACAGTGTATTTACCCATACATGCATAATTTTTCAGTGTACATATTTGTGTTTGTATTTACCAGTTGAAGCATTAGCCATTGTCTGCCTAACAAACCAGCCAACAAGGGCTCACCAAACCGTCCCAGCCACGCCCACCCTTTTAGCCCCCCCCCAATCCCCCTTAAAGCCGCCCATTTTAGTATCCATATCCATATCCTCCAACCCCCCGTTTTTGTGCAGTGCAGGCTGGGCTCTCCCTTGGCCACTGAACTGAAGCCTCACAACAATCTGCTCAATGAATCTCAATAAGTTTGTCATGGCTGCGTGGCTAATGCAGGAGGAGGGAGCGTGTGCGCCGTGTGTGTGCGCTTTATTTGCATTTGTGTGCGTGTGCTAAATCAAGCGGTAATTGGTTCTTCGCCTGCCATTTCCACTGTTGTTTATATAATTGAAACTAACACAAATAAAGTGCAAAAGCTTTCTGATTATGGGGATTTGCGCCTGCCACAAAATGAGCGTGGCTCAAGCTGGGCTCCCTTTACCCCAGGATTTTCCCGCTTTTCCACACACGCACACTCACACCCGCACACTGCCAGCGGCAATTCCTTGAGGGGGCGCTAACAATGGGTGCAGGTTGCCCTTGCGGAACAGTGGGGTCAAAAGCATATTTATAAAAATAAAATGAAAATAAAGAAAAAATAAAATAAAACATATTTTGAGTGTTTTTTTATGGTCTAAAAAGTTGTTGTGGTAAGTATTTTGGTTGATGGTAAGTACCTTAATTTTTGTAGATATTTGTTTAGATTTTTCTAGATTTTTTAGATTTTTTTAGATTTTTTTTTTAGATTTTTAAAATATATTTTTTGAAAGTTAACGGCCAAACTCGAATTTAAATTTAACGTCCAGTTTCAGTGTGCCCAGGTGCATTTTAGCAACATTTTAGCCAAAAAATTAACAATATGTTCACATCTGGTTTGAGTCTTTGCTTACTCCAAGATCAATGGTTCGAAACTTGGACTTTTTATAACAGTTTATACCAGTTTTCAGTTGCTTGCTGCTGATTTCTGTTCGCCTGTTACCCCAATTTGGGAAACGGGAAATTTGTATGGAAAATTTCGAAAATTTGAATGGGCTGTTGTAGAGATGTTGTTGTAAAAAGGTTGTTGTTGCTATCAAGCTATTGTTGTCGGCAACAAATAGGTATAAATGCATAAAATGAAATATAACAGTTTATACCAATTATTATTTTTGCCCAAAAGTTTTTATAACAGTTTATACCAGTTTTCAGTTGCTTGCTGCTGGTTTCTGTTCGCCTGTTACCCCAGTTTGGGAAGCGGCCAAATTTTAAAAATTTGGCTCACTTGCTTCAGTGATGCTCATCTGCATCAGTGATGCTCATGTGCATTAGTGATGCTCATCTGGCTATATATTGCCTTCCAATATTGCAATATATTGCCTCCCAATATTGCAATATATAGCCAGATGAGCATCACTGATGCCTTCCAATATTGCAATATATTGCCTCCCAATATTGCAATATATAGCCAGATGAGCATCACTGATGCCTTCCAATATTGCAATATATTGCCTCCCAATATTGCAATATATAGCTAGATGAGCATCACTGATGCACATTAGAGGTTTACGCCGATGGTTAAAGGCATCGGCGGCGGCGTAGAGGTCAAAATGACTCGGCGGCGGCGGCGTAGTAGTCAGAAAGAACCGGCGGCGGCGGCGCGTCAAATAAGGCAAAAAGGCCATTTTAATGAGTTATTTATTTTTTTTAAGTTTTATAAAGAACAATGACACTGAAGGCCGCGCTGAAGCTGCGCCGATGCCGCACCAGCGGCGCGCCGCGGCGCGCCGTTATTTTCATAATTTGGCGGCGGCGCGTCAAATAAGGCAAAAATCGGCGGCGGCGGCGGCGTGGCGCGGCGGCGTATATGTCTAATGCACATGAGCATCACTGATGCCTTCCAATATTGCAATATATTGCCTCCCAATATTGCAATATATAGCTAGATGAGCATCACTGATGCACATGAGCATCACTGATGCCTTCCAATATTGCAATATATTGCCTCCCAATATTGCAATATATAGCCAGATGAGCATCACTGATGCACATGAGCATCACTGATGCCTTCCAATATTGCAATATATTGCCTTCCAATATTGCAATATATAGCCAGATGAGCATCACTGATGCCTTCCAATATTGCAATATATTGCCTCCCAATATTGCAATATATAGCTAGATGAGCATCACTGATGCACATGAGCATCACTGATGCCTTCCAATATTGCAATATATTGCCTCCCAATATTGCAATATATAGCCAGATGAGCATCACTGATGCACATGAGCATCACTGATGCCTTCCAATATTGCAATATATTGCCTTCCAATATTGCAATATATAGCCAGATGAGCATCACTGATGCCTTCCAATATTGCAATATATTGCCTCCCAATATTGCAATATATAGCTAGATGAGCATCACTGATGCAGATGAGCATCACTGATGCAAGTGAGCCAAATTTTTAAAATTTGGCCGCTTCCCAAACTGGGGTAACAGGCGAACAGAAACCAGCAGCAAGCAACTGAAAACTGGTATAAACTGTTATAAAAACTTTTGGGCAAAAATAATAATTGGTATAAACTGTTATATTTCATTTTATGCATTTATACCTATTTGTTGCCGACAACAATAGCTTGATGGCAACAACAACCTTTTTACAACAACATCTCTACAACAGCCCATTCAAATTTTCGAAATTTTCCATACAAATTTCCCGTTTCCCAAATTGGGGTAACAGGCGAACAGAAATCAGCAGCAAGCAACTGAAAACTGGTATAAACTGTTATAAAAAGTCCAAGTTTCGAACCATTGATCTTGGAGTAAGCGAAGACTCAAACCAGATGTGACCATATTGTAATTTTTTGGCTAAAATGTTGCTAAAATGCACCTGGGCACACTGAAACTGGACGTTATATTTAAATTCGAGTTTGGCCGTTAATTTTCAAAAAATATATTTAAAAAATCTAAAAAATCTAAAAAGCATCTCTCTAACTGCCAGTGATGCTCATCAGATATTTTGCATTAAAATGGCATCTCACTAACTACCAGTGATGCTTATCTGGCTATATTGCATTATTGAAAGAAAAAGGCATCTCTCACTGTCAGTGATGCTAATCTAGCTATTTTTCATTATTGGGACAAAATGGCACCCTACTAACAGCCAGTGATGCCCAGTTAGCTATATTGCAATATTGGGAGAAATATGGATCTCACTATACATCAGTGATGCCCACCCAGCTATACAATAAATAAATAATTAAATACCGTATAATTGGAATATTTGCCACCATATTTATTAAATTATTATAAATAAAATCGTACAAAAATCGCTTAAAAATAGTTATAATTAAGCTTATTTATAATTTATAATTTATAATTATATCTTATTTTTTATTATTATTTTCTAAAAGTTTAGTTATGTATAGTCGTCCGATGTCACGAAGGCCGTTATATACTCCCCATTCACAGCATTTGGCCCACTGTGCAGGCCAGCCATAAAAGCCAAGACTTGAGGGGCGAGATTGCGAGTGCGAGTGCGTGTGCTTGATTACTGCCGTAAGCCCGGGTATGTGTGCGTTTGCTTACTTAAGCTGCTGTTAACTTAAGTATAACAATGATAAGGATAACGTCGGGCATTCAGTTACCTGCTGCTGCTGCTGCTCCCTCCCGGCTCCTTTTCCTGCTTGGAAAACCCCGTCCTCGAACACGTGTTTGCACCTTATTTATTTGCCACTCTCAGCCATTGGTTTCAGCCACTTGCTCAAACATTTCAGTTAAGTAATTGGAATGGCTAAGATTGGGCTTTAGTGGCAGTTGGCTAAAGCATATACCCGGGCGTATCCCTGGGGCTTAGTTTAGCTCATTACCCGACAAGGACTCGCCTCGCACTCGTCCTGCAACTCAATTAATGCAAATAGATGGAAATTGCATTTAAATAGCGTTGCTTCCATTATAATATATATATTTTTGTGGCTGTGAGGAGTTGTTGGGCCTCAATTAAACCATTGCCGCCACGATGATGAATCATTGCAGGACTCCAGATTGAGCTGTCCGTATCCTGTGCTGGTGCCTTCTTTTCCGCCAAATATCCCATGATTTTAGGCCGGATTCCCTGTAAATAAACGTAATTATTAAATCAAATGATTGTTTTTATTTTTATTTAATACTTACAATCTCTGACAACTCGTATTTTCTGCCAGTGCAATCGCAGCCCTTGTCCTGGGACCATTTTAAACCATTTGCAGTCATTGCTTTCCGTAAATGGTATTTTTTTGTCGTTTTTAATTGAGGATAAAAGCTGTTTGGGAAGGGGTGGGGGGATAAAGGGATGACTAAAGGTTGCCAATGGGTAAACAATGGGCGGGAGGGGGGTTAGCCCCTCTGGGTAACAAGCGTGTTGAGCCTCCAGTGTTTTCGGTGTAATTTTTGGGCCGAAAGGCAATCCCATAATGCGTTGTCCTTGCATTCATTTCGTTGTCCGGCCGGAAGTGCCTTCGTCCACCTACCCAGGCGCTTCCTGTGCCACTGGCCACTTGTCATAAATAAGCAGTGCAGCTTGCAGGGCAGCCGTTGCCGCCGTTGACCAATTTTCCGCCATTTTCCGTGTGCCTCGCACTTCGAATCCCAGGACTCTCGCTCGCATGGCATTGAAAGCGCGAATTCAATTTAACGAGAAATTGCAACAATCAACGCTGCTCCTGTGTCCCTCTTAACCCCTTAAAAACACAAATACACACACAGGGAGAGTGAGAAAAAACAAGAGAGGTGGAAACCTTCGTTCGGCTGATATTTAAATACCCTTTCCTGTAAAGGATTTGTCTTTACAGGATTGATTTTAGCTGAAAAAAGATTAAAAATTTAAGATTATTTAGTTTGATAATTAAAAATGTATAGTCGAACCTCTGCTCATAGCTAAAGTATCCTGAAAGGCAGGGCAAAACGCAGGAAAACAAACAATGGCAAGGATTTCGAGCAACAGGAGCTGCTGGCAAAAAAAAAAGGCAACAGGAATTTGAGCCATAAAAAAAGGCAGCGTATGCCAACAATGTAATTTTGACGCTTGATCTCGGCCGCAAACACTGAAAGAAATAGTCAACAAAAAAAGAAAATAAAAAATTAATAATAAATAAAAAACAAAATAAATAAAATAAATGAAATAAATAAAATAAATAAAATAAATAAAATAAATAAAATAAATAAAATAAATAAAATATATAAAATATATAAAATATATAAAATATATAAAATATATAAAATATATAAAATATATAAAATATATAAAATATATAAAATATATAAAATATATAAAATATATAAAATATATAAAATATATAAAATATATAAAATAAATTAAATAAATGGTCATTTTGACTGCATTTTTAGTTAAAAATTTTTACGGTAATTTCAATCAAAACTATTTATTTTGTTTTATTCTTTATATTTTTATTTTAATTAAAATCCTTTAATATTTTTCGCAGTGCTTTTCCATACGAGCAACAACAGCAAAATGGCAGATGGAAAACGCGTTGGTTTCATGAGAACAAACCAAAAAATAACAAAAAAAAAAAAAAAAACGAAAAACCAAGCGAAAGGAACTGCATCAAAAAACTCTGCTGGATAATGGACACCGAGGAATTCGCTGGCCACAATCACGAACCAGAAAAAAATTAAGGTGAAGCCAGGGAACAAAGATACTAACCTACGAAATACCCTTTTTATTAAATCAAAAAAATATAAGATATGTGTTTGAATTTAAAAAAATATCCATAAATTTATATGGTAATTTTTTAATATATAGGAAAACTTAAATAGGCATTACTCCGCCAAAAAGACACTAAATTCAAATCGGAAAGCGGGTTTCTCTTAGTTTTTACAAGCTTAAAAAAACTGCATACTGAATTTTAATTTCATTTTTTATCAATTTTTGAAAATTTTAATGATGTAACCCCTTATCAATTTTCGCGAAAATGGCCAAAAAATCGATTTCTTCCGGACATGTCTAGAAAGATTTGCCTGTTAATGCTGATCAAGAATATATATGGTTTATGGGGTCGGAAATGATTCCTTGACTTAGAAAAATATTATTTTGTATTTTAAAATCTGATTTTTTATATTAAAAAACTTCTTGATTTTTTTTAAATTTAAAAATATCATAACTCGACCAAAAGAGCATTAATTTTAAATCGGAAAACTGTTCTGTGCAAGATTTTCTACAGTTAATAAATCTGCATACTTCATTTAAAAATTTTGAAAATTCAATTTTTTATCAAAATCAAAAATTTTAATGATGTAACTAACCCCTTATAAAATTTTTCAAAAATGGCCAAAAAATTGATTTCTTTCGGACATGTCTAGAAAGATTCGCATGTTAATGCTGATCAAGAATATATGTGGTTTATGGGGTCGGAAATGATTTCTTTAAAAAATATTTAAGGATTTCAATTTTAGAAAGGCGTATTTTGAAATAGTAAAAAAAATATAACAATATTAAGTAGAACAAAAATAGAAGCTTGGCAACTGTGATATTGCTGCAATTATTAATTATTTAAGAAAAAAAATGTTCTTTGTATAAATTTAATAAAATAAATAATTTAAACTGTCAAAAAATTATTTATAAAATAATAAAACTTAATAAAATTTTGACAATTATTAATTTTTTAAGAAAAAATGTAAATTTTATTATATGAAAAGAAAGAATTTAAATTATTTTTTAAATAAACAAAATATATAATAAAATCGTTGCAATTATTAATTTCTTAAAAAGAAATTGTTATTTTATTATTATTTTATATATAAAATATTTTTAAAATAAAAAAAAATATATTGTAAAATTGTTGCAATTATTAATTAAAAAAAATGTTATTTAAATAAATAAAATAAAAGAAAGTATTTAAATTATCCATAAATTTCTTTTCTAAATAAACAAAAATTCAAATAAAATTATATTTGCAAACCTTGACCATGAATTATTCAAAATATTCACTCGTAACTTTAACAAATATTAATTACTTTAGCTAATTGACCCTTTTACTGGGAGAGAGTACACTTAGCTGACCACTTAAGTGTGGGTCATTGTGCCTGCCTCAGCGTGTGTTGGTCTGTGTTTTTCGTGGGATTTTCCCGCTCTACTTTTTCTCCATTTTCCCCACAACCGTATATGTATGTATTTTTTTTTTGTTTTTGTGACTCACTCACCCCTTTTCACGCGCTTTTCCTCGTGCGACTTTTGCGTGGTGCATTATTACTGCCGAAACGCCAACAGTTTTCGCTCTTTTTCCCCCGCCTGCCGCCGCCGCCGCCCACAAAGCCTCATAATATTTCATGGCTGTTGCAGATTGTTGACATTTTGGCTGCCTCTGCAACTCCGGGCAGGTCCCAGCTTCAATCCTACACCTACACCCAACTCCATTTTCATCACCATCACCATCACCATCTCTTCATCTCTCCATCCTTTATTGTCCTTTTTTTTTGGGTGTGGCTGTTGTAGTTGTTTCGATTATGCGGCAAAAACAGGGGGAGTTGGTGGGGAGAGGGAGCTGGTGGGGAGGGTAGCTGGTGTGGGGGGTAGTTGCTGCTTCTGCCTCTGCAGCGGATGCAAACAAACGCGGCTGCGGCGGCGGCGGCGGCGGAGGCTGGGGTTTTAGGGGGGTTAAGGGGAGTAGATGCATCCGCAGTCGCCTGCAAACAGGATAAAAGGCGCACAGCTGTCGCAGTGTCCATCAGGAGGAGCTGCAGCAGCATCAACCCGAAGCATTCGCACATCATCAGGTTCAGGATGTTGCAGCGGACATGTCCTTTTGTTTTGATGCGAGTTCTTTGGCCAAGGAAGTTTGTCTGGGCTTTAACTTTGATTTTCACAAATAAAAAAACTGATATATTGGCAGGTTTTTGAGGCTAAAAATCCCCACCCAGTAGCTCCTCTTAAAGCCTTCATAACATTCCCTTAATTCCCTTAATTTTTTTCACACACAAAACACTTTGCTTTCCAGCTGGGAACTTGTACTCCTCCTGGCCTTACATCACCGTGTGTGCATCCTTGAATCAACTATGAACGCTGCCGTTTGCGTGGTGGTCACCGTTCCTACGGCAGCCGAGGAGCAACGCTTGAATCCCCGTGCCTGCTCCTTATGCGGTGGCTCTTTGCTAGATGGCAAGGGCTCCTCGGAGCTATGCAAGCGTTGCCTTCAACTGAGTCACATTTCTGGAAATAGCCTGGAAACGCCACAGAGAGGAGGTGCTATTGCTGCCCCTCCCCGTGATCGATCTCTCCCCTTGAACAAGCTCAAGGAGGATGCTTCGCTGGAGCAGCTTTTACATGCCATTGCCGAGGAGCTGTGTTTGGAGTATGATGTCTTTTGGTCACAGGATCTCAGTGGAAGGCATCTACAAGCCCGCTTTGATTTGCAGCAGGACGAGCGTTTTGAGCGGCTGCTGTGCACATTGCAGGATTGGGGAGTGGGTGAGCGTCCTGGCACCCATGTGAGTGCCATTAATTGTTTGGAAACTCGAGACAAGCCGGAGCAGAAGGAGCAGCCGGAGCAGCAGCAACAATCGCAGACTGGAGACCAACAGCAGCAGCAGCAGCTACAAGATAAGCTCAGCCAGAATCAGGCCAGGCAAAGCCTCAATCAGGGCTGGCAGAGCTTCATGGACTCGGTGCGGTGTCGTTTGAATGTCAACCAGGTGGTGCGCCAGGTGAGACGCGATGCCACCTTAACCTTTGACTTTGTGGTGCTTCTCATATCCGCCGCCTTGCTCTCCTGCGTGGGTCTGGTGGAGAATAGCTTTCTGTTCCTGTCCAGCTCCATGCTCATCTCCCCCCTGATGGGTCCCATTATAGCCGCCATCTTTGGCTCGGTGATTGGCGATCGGGACTTGTGCTGGCTGGGATTGAAGAACGAGCTCTTGGGCATTGCTGTTTCCGTGGCCATTGGCTTTGTCTTTGGTGGCATTGTCTGTGGCTTTGGCTTTTTCTTTGCCATCTCCACGGGGCTAACCGAGGAGATTGTCTCCAGATGTGACACCCATTCCTTGGCCATCAATATCTGCACGGCCTTGGCTTCGGGGGCAGCGGGTGCCATTGCTGTTTTGGGCGGTAATACTGGTTCGCTGGTGGGCGTGGCTATATCCGCTTCCTTGCTGCCGCCTGCCGTGAATGCTGGTCTTCTGTCGGCCTTGGCCATTGGCACACGCTTCTTGTCGCCGGATCATGAGCTCCTCCAAAGCCTGCAGAAGCACAAAACCTACTCGGATCATTTGCCCATCGAGTTGATGGTCTGTGCGGGTGTAAGCCTGGCTTTGACCTTGCTGAACATCGTCTGCGTGTGGCTGATGGGCGTGGTGGTCTTGCGCATCAAGGAGGTGGCTCCGGCCGTGCAGAGGAATCAACACTTTTGGCATCATGATTTACGCACTGCCAGGGAGGTGGCTTTGTTGGATCCTGCTCTACAGAATGCCATCGATCAGCTGGATGAAAGTCAGACGGGTGGGCCTGGTAGCAGTGTCCCGGAGACTGGTCAGGTGGGTCCCGGGCTGAGCAATTACCACACGGTTCATGGCTTCAAGGAGTTTTGCCTGACGGTGCATCGTCTGAACAATGTAAATGCCAAGGAATCGCTGCAATCACCGCAATCACCGCGTCTTCCCAGCGTCAGAGAGCTGTTTGCCCCGCTCCAGGCCCAGGTGGAGGCGGAGGCGGCAGAGGAGGAGGAGGAGGAGGGGGAGGAGGTCCTCCCCATTGAGGAGCAGTCCCGGAACAATACTAGCCACAGTACTCTCATGCATCCCCCGTCGGCGGACAATCTGCTGCTGTGCGGCACCTGCCAGAGTCTGCCCAATCTTCGGCCGCTGGCCAGTAAGCTGAGCCTGCCCAGTTTGGGCAGCCTGGCCCAGCGGAAGCCTGGTGAGGTTTTGATACCGCTGCCCACTCTGGAGCCCAAGGAGGCGGCGGCTCCTCCTACTCCACCTTTAGATCGACCACTGAATCTGCTGGCCTTTGGCCAGAGCGGCGAGGAAGAGCCGCAGGAGGCGCAGGATGAGTTCCAGGTTTAGTTTTTCGGGGGGGAGTAGGGGGAAGCTTCTCCAATAAAAAAAAAAAATACAAATTTACCACCGCCCGGAGAGAGCAAGGCAAACAGCCAGGATGCTCCTTGGCCCTCCTCCTGCTCCTGGCTTTGACTACTGCCACAGGATGTCCCTGTTTGCCAACCACTCAAGGCCCTTGGCATTGGCGGTGACCAGAAAAATGCAGCAGGAAAAACTTGGGAAATATATATATATATATGTACAGGGACCTGAAAATGAATGCAAAGAAAAAATTAGTAAAAATAAAAAGGAGAAATAAAAATTAAATAAAAATGTAAATAAAAAATTGAAATTAAAAATGTAAAAACAAAATATAAATAGAAAATATAAATACAAAATTTCAATAAAAAATTTAAATAATAAATAGAAGAGAAAAATTGAAACAAAATTAAAAAATATAAAAAAAGAAAAAAAAAAAAAAATTAAAATGCAATGAAAAAAGTATTAAAAATAAAAAGAAGAAATAAAAATTAAAAAATATAATTAAAATTAAACTAAAATAAATTAAATGAAAATGAAAACATATTAAAATTAAAACTTGCAAAAAAATATGTATAAAATACTAATAATATATAAATAAAAAATTGGTAAAATTAAAAATCAGTAATTAAAATACAGAAAATAAAAATTTAAATAAGTAAAAAAATAAAAAATTGAAATTAAAAATTTAAATAAAATATATAAATACGAAATAGGAAAATAAAGTATAAATAAAAAATATAAATACAAAATGTAAATACAAAATAGAAATATAAAGTATAAATAAATAATTTAAATATTAAATATAAAGACAAAATAGAAATAAAAAATAGAAATAAAAAATATAGTTTACTAAATTTTCAAAAGGCACATATATATATATTTTACTTGTTTAGTTTTTTTAATGCTCATTCTTGCTGGTTTCCTTGTCAAAAAAAAAAAAATAAATACATACAAATATTAATAAACATCCCTAAAATCCTTCTTCAAACTCCTGTTCAAAGTGAACTTTCTTTCTGATTTTCTAAAATATATTTCACAGACTTTCTGTATTTTCTGGGCAAGTAAATTCTTATTTTAAAGATTTCCCCTTAATCCTTTCCTTTTCAATAAGTTCCCTTAAAGATGCTCGCTGCTGCTGCTCAGGCAGGAATTGATTGTTTTTATTGTCCATTTCCTTGGTCATATATCCCTTTTTCGTCCTGGCTCATTCGCAGGCCCATTAGAGGGGCAACAACAATTACGTGTTGCGCTTTTATTGCGGCCAGCAGCAGTTCGTTTTGTTTTGTTTCTCCGTTCTCCGTTCCCCGTTCTCCTACTCCTTCTCCCCCTCTTCCACCTCTGTTGTTTTCACATGCATCCTTTGGCCAGGATCAGGCATTAAACGGGGCCGAGAATGGCGTGCGAAAAAAAGGGATGCGATGGCCAGAGCCACGTGTGATTGCCCTTTGATGTGTTGTTGGATTTTCTCTAATGTTTATTTGCCATTTCAGCGACCCCTCTCTACTCGCCCGCCCGCCCGCATGTCCTTGATCCGCCTTTTCCGCCTTCGTTTCCTGTGCGCCCCGGCCGCCGTTCTCCTGTTTGCTGGCCAAAAGGACAGGTGCGACATTTGGCATGTCCACGCAATTAGCGCCCTTGTCCTTGGCCCGGGTTCTACTACTCCTCCTCTTCCTACTCCTCCTTCTCCTCCATCCACACCTCCTCCTGCTTCACCTCCTCCTATACCTCCTCCCCCTCCTTTCGGTCAAGTGCTTGCGGACGAGTCCCTCGATTAACTGGTTTTCACCCAACAGGCCGCTAACGAGGCCGCATTTGTCCATCGAGAATGCGAGGATGCACCGCGAGAAAAACTGTATTTTCAATTTAAAAAATTTAATTTAAAAATTTTAATAATTTGCTTTGCACAGGGAGAAAATCTGCATTTCATTTTTAAAATTTCATTTAAAAAATTTAAATAATTTCTTTTGCACTGAGAGAAAAAAATTTATTTGAATTTAAAAAATTTAATTTGAAAAATTAAAATTACTTCCCTTGCACAGCAAGAAAAACTTTACCTAATTTGAAAAATTGTAATAATTTTCTTTGCACAGCGAAAAAAACATTATTTTAATTTTAAAAATTTATTTTAAAAAATCTTAATAATTTCTTTAGCTAAGGATACTTTCTTCCTAGAATTTAAGCTGTTGCAAAATTATTCTATATTTTTCTGTACCAAATTCAGGCACTTTTTCTTCAAGTGTAGCACTGAAAAAGTGCGTCAAGTGCCTGGGTAACCGTACTATAATTTTATGATGGATGCGCGGAACCTCTTTAAAAGATGTGTAAACAGTTTTATGAGGCTAAGGTCGAGGCTGTTCTCAAAAGGACCTTCTCAAAGGCTAATCCTGTAAGCAAACAAACTGGCAAAACAAGTGTGAGGAGGAATATAACAATGATTTTGAGCCTGAATCTATTATATATTTCCAAGTGAGAGATTACTAAAAGATTGCAATTAAAAATTGAACACTTTTTGCTGTCAATTGGCTTGCTTAGTCTGTGTATCCTGCGTCCTGTGTGTCCTTTTGCTCATTATTTACCATAATTATTTATACTTTTATTTATCACTTTCGACAAGTTTTTATGGTTGCTTCCGCTGCGAAAACTTTTCGAAAAGCAGAAGAAGGAAAAAACATTTAATATTAAATGGAGAAGCAAGCAGCAGCAGAAGGCGAAACTTTGATCCTTTTGTGTGTTTCAGAAGGCATCAGATGCACTTGAAGAAACTAGGGGGGAAGTCTTGGAGGGAATTTTAAGAGGGGAATGATTAAGCAAGTTTTTGGGGAAATAATTAAGACCAGAATTTGAATGGTAAATAGTTTTTAAATATTTTTAAGATGTTTTAAAGTATTTTAATTGTTTATTTTAAAATTTAATTATTTCTTTTTATTTATTATTTATTTGTATGACATAAATATATTTTCACAATAATCTTATTCCATTCTTCGTGAAAATTAGTTTGATGAATGGTTTTTAAAAAATTTTTTAAATGATTTTTAATATTTTTAAAATACTTTAAAGTATTTTAATTGTTTCTATTAAATATTAAAAGATATTAAGATATTAAGATATTTTTAAAGTTATTAGTTCTCGATTTTTATGTCCTAAATATATTTTTAAAATATTCTTATTCCATTTTTTTTATAAAAATGCTTATGAAAAATTATATTTAAAAATTTTTAGGATGATTTTAAATATTAATAAGATGCTTTAAAGGATTTTAATTGTTTTTATTTATTTATTAAACTTTTCCCTTTAATTTCTCTTATTTACCCCCTTTTTCTCTCAGTGCTTTGCTGAGCAATCCGCTTGCCTTGCGGCAGTCTTCGTGCCTTAAATAGTTGCACCTTTTGGCCAGGGCCAGCGGGGGGGAGAGATCCGCTTCTGAGGACCAAAGTGCAGTCGAGTGGAGGAGCGACTGCTCTGGTGTGGAGTCCAGTGGAGATTGGAGCCTGGAGAGTGGAGCCTGGAGTGGATTGTTGTGCTGTTGTGCCTGGCTTTATACACTGTTTTCTATTTGCTGTATTTTCTTTATACACTTTTCCCTTTTTCTTTTTTTTTTATTATTTTCCACTACTTTTTGCTGCTTTTCGGGCACTGCTGCTGGCCTGGGATTATGGAGCACATGCTTAGTGCCTATTATTTATGGACCCTGGCCAGCCAGCAGCAGCAGCAGCGGCAGCTTCAGCCACAAGAAGCCATCGTCATCGCCAAACGCCCCCTCTCACAGCATGGTCAATTGATTTTCGAGACCAAAGAGAACACACAACCCCACAGGAACCATTGTCCCTTCGAGGACCCTCTTCTCACCATGACAACCAAGAGCGGATTACACTAGTCAAGGCAATCAGGCAGTCAGGTGTTTTGTGCAGCTTCTCTTCTCTTCCCGGCCAGGTTAATATCGAGAGCCGGGCCAAGAGCAGCATTATGCGTATTATTAAGCTCTCTGTTTTCGGCCAGCCAGCCAAGCCAAGCCAGGACAAAGGACTATCTAATTGCTGGCTTAATATCGATAAAATAAGGTAACTAATAATTATAAGTACTGGCTTAGTGGTGAGTATATTTTAGGCCAAAGAGGGTTTCGTATAGAGTTGGATATTAATATTAATATTAAAAACAAGATAAAAGCAGGCCGCACTGCAACAAATAATCACCTAAAAAGGAGGCTAAGCCGAGAAGTTGCCTAAAATTCCAGAATAAATAACTTAAAAACCTAATAAATATATATTAAATAATAAAAATACAATAAAAATACCTCAAGGCATCTTGTAAATATTTAAAATCATCTTAAACATTTTGTAATTCCATTTTTCAAACTTATTTTTTATAAATAAATGGAATAGGAATATTTTTAAAATATGTTTATGATATAAAATTTGAGAATAAATACATATAATAATATTTAACAGAAACAATTAAAGTACTTTAAGGCATCTTTAAAATTATAAATTATATTAAAAACATTTTTTTTTAATATTAAAATAGGTACATTACAATATATATAACGTTAAGAAACCGCTGTTTTTTTTTTACCTCAAGAAGAGGTAAAAATGAGCTAAATTTCCGTTATTTCTGTAATTCCTGTAATTCCTTGAATTCAGTAATTATTTTTAACATTTTCTCGAATGACCATTGTATAGCCCGGCAAGTGTTAATTACCAACGTCAAAGGAGCAGTCTCTGAATTTACCCATTTTCTCCATTTTCCTTTTGCCTTTCTAGCATTCAGCTTTTAGAATCCAGAATCTAGTATCCCCCCTTTTTTTTTGTGAACTTGCAACTTCGCTTTGGCAACAAATTGCACTAGCTTTGTCCTTGGGATGCGTTTTAATCTGGCCATTGTTCTTGGTCTCCAGGACCTGCACAGCCACCGCTCCTGCTCCTGCCTAGCTCCCCCTCCCTTCCCCCGCATCTCTCTATCTGCATCTTTTGCCTTGTAAATTATGTGTTTTAATATTTCACAAAAGAACCAAAAACTGAGCACTTTGTTTATAATCTTATGCCCGCCTTTCGCATCTTGGGTTTTAATAAGCCCCCGAAAAAAGAAATTCAAATAAAAAAATAAGCAAGAAAGGCAGATAACTTTGGCCTGATGAAGTTTTTTATGCTCTTGAAGTTTGCATTTGTTGCTTTAGGATGTTAAGAAAAAATAATAATAAAAGAAAATATATATAAAAAAAAATAAACAAATAATAATAATAATAATAA